GCTAACATCATAATAGTGAAAGATTGATTTCTCTTTAAGATCAGGAACAAGACAATAATGTCCACTCTTGCCACTTCTATTCAACATTGTACTGAAGGTTATAGCCAGGGAAATGAGGCAAGGAAATGAAATAAAAGGCATCCACATTCAAAAGCAAGAAGTAAGAAGTAAAACTATCTCTACAGATGATATGATCTTGTATATTGAAAATCTTAAGAACCTGGTACTGGCAAAAGGATAGACATACAGATCCGTGGGATAGATCTGGAATCCAGGGGGAAAAAACCCTCACATTAATGGTCAATCAAGTTTTTTATTTATTTATTTTATTTATTTATTTTTGCCTGCGTTGGGTCTTCGTTGCTGCGCGCGGGCTTTTCTCTGCGAAAGGGGGCTACTCTTCGTTGCCGTGTGCGGGCTTCTCATTGAGGTGGCTTCTCTTGTTGCAGAGCATGGGCTCTAGGCGCGCGGGCTTCAGTAGTTGTGGCACGCGGGCTCAGTAGTTGTGGCGCACGGGCTTAGTTGCTCTGTGGCATGTGGCATCTTCCCGGACCAGGTATCGAGCCCGTGTCCCCTGCCACCAGGGAAGCCCCTGGTCAATTGAGTTTTTATGAAAGTGCCAAGATAATTCAATGGAGGCAAGAATAGTCTTTTCAACAAATGGTGCTGGGACAACTGAATATCCACACGCAAAAGAGTGAAGCTGGACCTCACTTCGTATCATAACAAAAATTAACTCAAAATGAAGGAAGATCTAAATGTAAGAGCTAAAACCATAGAACTCTTAGAAAAACAATCATAAGTGTAAAGCTTTGTGACCTTGGATTAAGCAATGGATTCTTAGATATGACATCGAAAGAAACAAACAAACTGGACATTATTGAAATTAAAATCCTTTGTGCTTCAAAAGATACCGTCAAAAAAGTGAAAGGACAGCCGACAGAATGAGAGAAAATATTTACAAATTACTGATTAAGGACTTGTGTCTAGAAAATATAAAAAACTCTTACATTCAACAATAAAAGAGACAACCTAATTTTAAAATGGGCAAGGGATCTGAACAGACATTTCTCCAGAGAAAATATACAAATGGCCAATAAGCACATGAAAAGATAATATGCTCAATATCATTTGTCATCAGGGAAATGCAAATCAAAACCAAAAATGAGATATCATTTCACACCCCCTGGATAGCTATTAATCAAAAAGACACAATAGGGATTCCCTGGTGGCGCAGTGGTTGAGAGTCTGCCTGCTGATGCAGCAGACACAGGTTCGTGCCCCGGGTTGGGAGGGTCCCACATGCTGCAGAGAGGCTGGGCGCATGAGCCATGGCCGCTGAGCCTGTGCATCCGGAGCCTGTGCTCCGCAACGGGAGAGGCCACAACAGTGAGAGGCCCGCATAACGCTAAAAAAAAAAAAAAAGACACAATAACTGTAGAGCTACACGCCAAAGAATCAAACTGGACTCACACCATATAAAAAAATAAACTCAAAATGGGTTAAAGCCTTAAATGTAAGACCTGAAACCATGAAACTCCTAGAGAAAACAGGCAGTATGCTCTCTTCTGTCGGTTTTAGCAATATTCTACTCAGGCAAGGGACACAAAAGCAAAAATAAACAAATTGGGTCTACATCAAACTAAAAAGATTAACACAGCGAAGGAAACTATTAACAAAATGAAAAGACTGCCTTGAATGGAAGAAGATATTTGCAAATGATAAATCTGATAAGGAGTTAATATCCAAAATACACAAAGAGGGACTTCCCTGGTGGTCCAGTGGTTAAGAATCTGCCTTCCAATGCAGGGGATGCGGGTTCAATCCCTGGTTGGAGAACTAAGATCCCACATGCCACAACTAGAGGGCCTGCGCGGCGCAATGAAGACCAAGTGCAGCAAAAAAAAAAACCCGAAAACCAAAACCAAAACCAAAATACACAAAGAACTCATACAACTCAACATCAAAAAAACAAACAACCCAATTGAAAAATGGGCTGAATAGCTGAATAGATATTTTCCCCTGATTAAAAAATGGTAGAGGACCTGAACAGATATTTTTCCAAAGAGTACAGATGGCCAAGAGACACATGAAAATATGTTCACATCACTAATGATCAGGGAAATGCAAATCAAAACCACAATGAGATATCGCCTTACACTTGTCAGAACGGCTAATTTCAAAAAGACAACAAATAACAAGTATTGGCAAGGAGATGGAGAAAAAGGAACCCTGTGTGCTGTTGGTGGGAATGTAAATTGGTGCAGTCATTATGGAAAACAGTACAGAGATTCCTCAGGACATTAAAAATAGAACTACCAGGGCTTCCCTGGTGGCACAGTGGTTGAGAATCTGCCTGCTAATGCAGGGGACACGGGTTCGAGCTCTGGTCTGGGAGGATCCCACATGCCGCGGAGCAACTAGGCCCGTGAGCCACAACTACTGAGCCTGCACGTCTGGAGCCTGTGCTCTGCAACAAGAGAGGCCGCGATAGTGAGAGGACCGCGCATCGCGGTGAAGAGTGGCCCCCGCTTGCCGCAACTAGAGAAAGCCCTCGCACAGAAACAAAGAACCAACACAGCAAAAATAAATTAATTAATTAATAAGCTCCTACCCCCAACATCTTCTTTAAAAAAAAAAAATAGAACTACTGTACGATCCAACAATTCCACATCTGGGTATTTCTCTGAAGAAAATAACCCTAATTCAAAAAGATACATGCACCCTTATGTTCACTGCAGCATTATTTACAGTTGCCAAGATATGGAAGCAAACTAAGTGTCCATTGATGGATGAATGGATCAAGATGATGTGGTATATACATATATACACACAATGGAATATTACTCAGCTATAAAAAGAAAGAAACCTTGCCATTTGCAACAACATGGATGGATCTAGAAGGTATTATGCTAAGTGAAATGTCAGACAGAGAAAGACAAACACTGTATGATTTCACTTATATATGAAATCTTAAAAAAAACCCCACAAGAAAACAGAAACAGACTCATAGATACAGAAAACAAACTGGTGGTTGCCGGAGGGGAGTAGGGGAAGATGAGTGAAATAGGTGAGGGAGATAAAAAGGTACAAACTTCCAGATAAAATAAATAAGTCAAGGGAATGTAATGTACAGCATAGGAAATTAGTCAATAATATTGTAACAACTTTGTATGGTGACAGACAGTAATCAGACTTTTGTGATGATCATTTTGTAATGTATAAAAATATCGAGTCACTAGGTTGTACGCTTGAAACTAATATTGGAAGTTAATCATACTTCAATTTAAAAAAGAGGGGAAAAAGATAAGTGTGCTTGAGGATGTAGAGAAATTGGAACCCTCTTGCACTGCTGGGGAATGTAACATGGCGCAGCCACTTTTGGAGGTAGATTTGCAGTCTGGCAGTTCCACAAATGGTTAAGCAGGGAGTCACCATCTGACACCCAGTTATTTCACTTCTAGGTATGTACGCAATAGAAATAAAAACATACATCCACACAAAAACTTGTACATGATTGTTCATAGCAGCATTATTTATGACAGTGAAAACTTGTTTCAACCACATGTCCATATACTGATGAAGAGATAAAAGGTGTATCCATACTGTGAAATATTATTTAGCAAAATAAAAAGGAATGAAGCACTGACACAGGCTACAACATGGATGAACCTTTAAAATATTACACTGAGTGAAAGAAGCCAGACACAAAAGACCACATATTGTATGATTCCATTTATATGAGTTGACCAGCGTAGGCAAAGCTACAGAGATAGAAAGATTAATGATTGTCTTGGGCTGGGGAGGGGGCAGAAGAGTGGTTAGAGAGGTGATAACTTGGGGTACAGGGTTTCTTTTTAAGGTAATGAAAATGTTCTAAAATTGATTGTGGTGATGATTGCACAACTCTGTGAATATACTAAAAGTTGTTGAATTGTACAATTATAAATAGGTAAACTGTATGGTACGTGAATCACATCTCAATAAAGCTGATATTAAGTGAAAACAACCCTATGTCCTGTGGACACCCAAAAGCTTTCCCTAAAATGGCTGTAAATTGTCTTGGGGATGGGGATTTTATTCTCAAGTCCTCCTTTGGTGTCAGCTCTTGATCCAAGAATTCTGGCCTGGTTCCATAACACAATGACCCAGAAATGGAACTCAGCCTTTTGCTGAAGTTCTATCTTCCCAACCTGCCCTACCTCTTAGGAAGCATCCATGACTTCATCGTAAGTGGGACAGAGGAGACAGGAAGGGATGGCATTACAGGAGAGCAGGCAGCTTTCAAAGGAACATCAGGTATCCTGGTTTTTAGGAAGCTCTTCGCCCATTTCTTAACCGGGGGGCCTTTCCTCAGCCTTTGCACACTGCCCCCACTGTTCCTCAGGCCATCTCCCCAGCAACTCCCCACCCCATCTGGAGCAAACCAAATTCCTTCCTAGCATCTCTTAGGCAGAGCTGTTTATAATCAGACACATCTTTTGTGGCCTTGAGATTGCCCTTTCTATGGCCCATGAACTCACATTCCACCCAAGAAATTTATCAAGATATTTTTTAGCAAAGATAAATATCTCCCTAAGAAGAATTCTGTTGTCACCTGTTAAGACACTAATGTAGCCTTTTTTTTTTTTTTTTAAGGTGGAGAGAATAGTTTAGTGAACCTCATGTACCCCCGCAGCTCCAACAATTATCAGTGTTTTGCCAATCTTGTATTTACATGAGATAAATTCTTGGGAGAGGGCGGTGGTACTTTTAAAATACAAATGCTCCTATCAGAACAAGACAGAGAATATACGCTGAACCACCTTCTGTTTCCCATGTCGGGGAATCCAGGGAGAGGACTGGAGCGTAGGAGCCCCCCATAACCTGTGGGGGACTGAGGGTGGGCACAGAGCGATGGGTTAAGGTGTGCGGACCAAGATGATAGGGCGGGGTGTGTAGATCGGGCGCCCGGCGAGGGCGGTGCCCGACCTGGCTCCGGGGCCAGGCTTCCCGCGGGGCTAAAGCGCGGTGTCGGGCTCGGGGTCCGGCGGCGCCCCCTCGCGGGAGTAGAATTCATCGATAATGTTCTGCGGGATGCGCTTCAGCATCTCCTTGGGGAAGATGCGCAACAGCTTCCACCCCAGGTCCAAAGACTCGAACACCGAGCGTTTCTCGTAGGGACCTAGGGACAGAGCAGGAGTGTTAAGGGTGTGTGCGCGTGTGGGTGTCGGACTAAGGGGGTTGCTGCCTGAACGCCCCCAACGCGCCTCACCCTGGTTGATGAAGTTCTTCTCAAATTTCTGCAGGAATTCCAGGTAGAGCAGGTCCTCGGAAGGGAGCGCCTCCTCCCCCACCACTGCCTTCATGGCCTGCACGTCCTTCCCGACGGCGTAGCAGGCATACTGGTGAAGGGGGGAGGGGGTCGGCGGTCACGGCAGCCTTACCGCAGGAGTCCCGTGTTCCCCCATGTGACTGTGCGGGGACCCCAAAAGGGGAGGAATTTTTTTCTTCCAGGAGAAAAGTTCGTGGTCCAGCTGGGGCTCCAATCTCCAGCTTCTGAAACTAGCTTCCCCACCAGCCCTTGGGCTCTCTCCTTACCAGCTGGTTGGAGACATCGCCATGGTCCTTTCTCGTCATGCCCTCCCCAATGGCGGACTTCATCAGCCGAGAGAGGGAAGGGAGGACGTTGATGGGGGGGTAGATCTGGGCGGGGCGAAGAAGGCGTGTCAGAAGGCAGGGTCCAGACTTCCCCTTCTTTCCCACCTCTACTTGTCTTCCCTCCCCCTGTGGTTCTCAGCAGACTGGTCGTTATTCATCCCACAGAGAGGTCAGCTGGTCACACCCCGCCCTCTATCGCCCACAAATTCTAGGGCTTGGGTATACAGGTGTCTACATGTGCGCACCTAGACAGGAGAGTGGAGAGGGAAGATGACATGACATTAGTTCATGGAAGTCTCGCTATTTCAAAACTTCTGATTATTTGGACAAAAGCCAGGTAGAAACTTAACAGTTCATAGTTGCAAAGAAAAGCTGCCAAACAAAGAGGAAAGAGTAAGTGGGTGGCCTAAGATGGGACAGACACTTTTTCTAACCCTTTGGTACATTATTCACCACGTACTTGTGTCAGTTCCCTATTGTTTTTGTTCACCAAAGCAAATTACTAGAAAGGAAAGAGAAGTGATATTTATTTTGTGTCTACGATCTGCTAGATGATTTCTGTGGGCCAACTTATTTTGTTTTATTCTCCACAATGCAACTGTGTGATATATATTATCATTCCCATTTTATAGATGAGGAAACCTAGGATCAGAGAGATGAAATGATTTTCTCAAGGTCCCACATCCAGGTAGGCTGGATTCCACCCAGACTTGTCTTCTGTCCAGGAACCAAACAGTCTTTCTGGGGATTAACTCCTGTCACGGGTTAGCCTTGTCTGGCCCCTCCTCATTCACAGGGAGATGAAGTAAAGGGGGTGGTGGGACATTGGTTATTAGTCAGTGTACTTGGAGATGGTGGAGAGAGCAGGAAGTGGGTAAGGAGGGGACAGTACCTGTCTGTTATGAAGCTGTCTGTCCACGTAGATCTGTCCCTCTGTGATGAAGCCCGTCAGGTCTGGAATCGGGTGGGTGATGTCTGCAAGGAAAGGCACTGGTGTCAGTGTAGATCTAGGTCTCCACCCACTCAGGGCCATGTAGGTTCTATTCCCTCATGGGAGTGGGTGATCGGGGGAGGCAAGGAAGGGACAGTGTCTACCCTGATGGAGGAACAGAGCTACTGCACATCTATATAAAGAAGCATGGGTCCTCTAAGTGTCTGGGTAGGATGGGAGGGCAGGAGGGCTGCAGAGGGTAGTGGGCAGGGAGGCGGCTCACCGTCATTGGGCATGGTGAGGATGGGGACCTGAGTGATGGACCCACCCCGGCCCTCCACGCGGCCTGCCCGCTCATAGATGGTGGCCAGGTCTGTGTACATGTACCCGGGGAAGCCTCGGCGCCCGGGCACCTCCTCTCTGGCAGCTGAGACCTGCAATGTTCGTGCGCCTTGGGGTAAGAAAGGGGGCAAGAGGCTGACACAAGGAAGGGGAGTGGGGGGCTCAGTGACCATGAGGAAAGGGGTGGGGACAGGCCTGCGTGGGCCGGCTCTGGGCACAGTGACTACAGCCACCTCACCTCCCGCAAGGCCTCTGCGTAGGAACTCATGTCTGTCAGTATGACCAGCACGTGCTTCTCACACTGGTAGGCAAGGAATTCAGCCGTGGTCAGTGCCAGGCGCGGGGTGATGATCCGCTCGATCCTGCAGGTACGGCCAATGTTTAGAGAGCCTCGAGGCCCAGGCCTGTGCTCCATTTAGCCCCAGTGCTGAGAGGGTGGTGAACTGGGAAGCTGGTACAGTGCACAGCAGCAAAGGACTGGGTAAGATAAGCCCCAGGCCCCAGCCCCCAGATCCAGGCCATGGTTCCTGGGAGTGCGCCCTCAACCACGTCCTGCTATTCAAGGTAGGAACTGAGGACAGAGGCTGGGACAGGCAGGGAGCTTGGGTGAAAGAGGGACAGGCAGGGCCAGGAGTGACTGATGAGGATGACAGTGTCCCTCGTCCCCCATGGCACCTGAGCTTGGGTCAGCTGGAGCACTCACACACTCTGTGTCCTCGGGGTTCTTTCCTTACTGTTCCCCTCACTATTCCTTGCTGAGCATGGGTCAGAGGCTGGCCTGCCCTGGCAGCCCCTTCCACTGGGGGCAGTCCAGGCACTCTCAGTCCCCGGGCTCTGTGCCTGTGGCACTTTTCTCTGGTGATGTCATCTGGTCCTCCTGAACTCTGCTACCTGGTTTGAGTTCCTTCTGAGTACCTTCAGTTCCCAGGACAGTTTATTAGATTTTTTTTTTTCATCACCTAGCCTACAGATTTAAACTCACATTTTCTCAACTTTTAAGATAGCAATTTTTCTAAGCGAATGGTTTAGGGAAATATCTCTTTAGTGGTGACCTTGTGGAAGTGAGTCTCGGATGAGGGGTCTTGACTTGGGATGGTGGCTGGATGCAGGTTGTGGGCAGGGCGGAGGGGCGGCAGGTGGCCGGCAGGCTGTGGTCCAGCTCCCTGTCTCTCCGTGTGCTGTCCCTACCTCTTCCCCAGCCTCGGTGTCCCCATCTCCACAATGAGGGCTTGTTCTCCCAGCTCTGGCCCATGGCTGTAGTTCTGGGATGCCTGAGACCTGGTACTCTGGGTCTTGGAAGGGGGCAGGGCCTGCTGCCTAAGGGCAGTATGGGTGCCAGGGGACGGCTCACGTGGGGTCGTTGGCCAAGTTCAGGAACAGGCAGACATTGCCCATGGTACCGTTCTGCTCGAAGTCGGACTTGAAGAACCTGGCTGTCTCCATGTTCACCTGGACACACAGCAGGGAGGGCTGGAGGCGGGGCCCAGGTCCTTCCCTCTCTTCTCAGTAAAGCCTATTGACTGACCTGCTAATGGTCACTGGGGTGAACCTGGGGCTTGAGAGGGCAGGGGCTGGGTTTGCTGCCCAGTCCGGGATAGGGTCTCATCAGAGCCCCAGAGAGAGGTTCAGACTTCAGGCTCAGCTCTGCTCGGTGCCACCCCTGCCCCTTACCCTACCCGCTGCTTCCCTGCTAAACTCCCCATCCCTGCCTTGGGCCCTCTAAGGGCCCCCGGGATCCCGGCCGTCCTGGGCTCATCTTATAGCTTCTGTGGGGCACACACTGCCCGCTCCTCCAGTCATGCTCTTGCCTCTCTCACCAGACAGGCTCCGACTTTGACGGCTTCTCAAGAAGGATAATGCCTCCCCCATAAGGCTGGTGTGCCAGGGGCCAAGCCTGCCCGCCCATAGCTTCCAGAGCTTGCCAATCGGCCCAGCCCCTCTTACCCCCATGGCTGCAAAGACGATGGCAAAGTTGTCATCGTGATAGTCCAGCACGGCCTTGGATTTCTTCACCAGCCCAGCCTGGCGGCAGATCTGGGCAGCGATCTGGGGATGGGAGGAAGGACAACAGAACCAGAGCTCGAGTCAGCCCTCTGAGCACCACTGAGGAGCATGGACAGGGTAATTCCCAGCCCGACCTGCCGCCAAGGCCTTTGGTGGGAGGGACCCAAGGTCAGCAAGGAGGAAGGGCTGCCCTGGGTCCTACAGCCGCTCTCAGGGAAGGGCTGCCTTATTCTGTGGCACCTGAGGACCCAGGGTGCCTGTCATGAGGAGCAGCGTGGAAAAACAGTTCCAGAGAGCAACTGCCTACCATGGGTTAGGGGCAACTTGGCCCTTCAGAGTCCCCTCTGCCCCGCAGCCTGCTAGGGGTATCTCTGGGGTTCGCCCCAGGCCTGCAGCGTGTGTGCAGGAGTTTCCAGTCGCCATGTCCAGATCCAGGATGAGCGTGTGTGTAGGGGGAAGGCAGGGACACTTATGCCGTCTAATCCCTCTGAGCATTTTGAGGGTGAGCCGGGGCGCATCCAGGAGTAGAGGAGTGGGGGTGGTCATGGGGGATCATCTAGAAACCTTGTCACACCAGCTGCTCTGGGAAGAAATGGGCTGCCCACTCTGGGTAGAGGGGGTAGGGCAGGAAACCTGCACAGGGAGGCTTCAGACGGCCGTGGGGCTGGCCCGAGGTGGGGTTCGCTCAGTGCAGGCAAGTAAAGACCATTGCAAGGACCAGTGGTAGAGCCGTGGGCTCAGCTGCGCAGGACATTCAACACTGAGGCTACCCGTGAGCTCTCTCATGAGCCAGTGCGAGCCCCACTCACTCAGGATGGAGGCTTGGAGATCGGTCTGGGGGCCCTGAGTCCCTGAGCTGCCAGGAGACAGCTGCCGGTGACCCCAGCCTGCTCGGCACAGGAGGCCCCCCTCGCTGGCCCACCAGCCCTGGCCTCTGCTCCATCCCTTCCCCTTGGTCGTGCCCACAGGCCCCTCGAAGTCCTCACCTCATTGTGGGGGAGCCCAGCTGCCGAGAAGATGGGGATCTTCTGGCCACGGGCAATGCTGTTCATGACGTCGATGGGCGAGATGCCTGTCTGAATCATCTCCTCTGGGTAGATGCGGTTGTGGGGGTTGATGGGCTGGCCTGGGAGATGGTGACCATGGACCCTGCTCAAGGGTTCAGGCCTTGCCCGCCTTCCCCCACCCCTGTTCCAGACTCCAGGGCAGCACTGTTTAAAAGAATTTTCTTCCATGATGGAAATGTGCTCTAACTGCGCTGCCGAAAATGTAGCCCTGGCCACGTGTGGCTATTGAGCATGCACAATGTGGGTTTCTTGTTTTTAATTAATTTATTTAATTTTTGGCTGTGTTGGGTCTTCCTTGCTGCGAGTGGGCTTCTCCTTGCGGTGGCTTCTCCTGTTGCAGAGCACGGGCTCTAGGCACGCGGGCTTCAGTAGTTGTGGCTCATGGGCTCTAGAGCGCAGGCTCAGTAGTTGTGGCACGCGGGCTTAGTTGCTCCACAGCATGTGGGATCTTCCCGGACCAGAGCTCGAACCCGTGTCCCCTGCATTGGCAGGCGGGTTCTTAACTACTGTGCCACCAGGGAAGCCCCGCAATGTGGTTTTGAAATGAACTTTTATTTCATTTGAATTAGTCTGTATTTCAATAGCCACAGTCCAGTGCTCCCTTGGACGGTGCCACCCAGGCACATTAGAAGTGGCAGGCATGTGGATGCCAGAAGGCAGGAGAGTGAGGGTCTTGGGCACCTGGGGAACTTTGCACAATGATGATAGCATTTTATAGGAATGGGACATGAAATGCAGCTGGCCCCAGACAGAGGGGCCTTGCTGCTCTCGTATCTCACCTGACCTGCCTGTTAGTATGACCAGTTCTGGGGGTGAGCCCTGGGCAATGGCCCTGGCCTTTATCTGGGGCAGAATTTCCAAGGGCGAGGTGACAGAGGCAATGACTGGGGTGGGGAAGGTAGTTGGGGGCTGGGTCCCAAGAGCTGTCCCGAGCCTCCGGTCACTTACCATTGATATCCAGGAAGTCCTCTGCCATGACCACTGGCCCCTTGTCAATGGGTTTGCCAGAGCCATTGAAAACCCGACCTGGGAGTGGGTGAGAGGGGAACAGCCCTGGGTCTCTCAGTGCCACTCACCCTCCACACCACCAGCTCTCACCCAGCCCTCGCGTCCCAGTTGCCCCACGTTCCCCTCCCCTCAGCCCTTGGTTACCCCCAGGGAGCTGGCTACAGTGACTGCCTCCTTGGGGGTCTTTCCTCCTCTCCTGGAAACCTTTACAGGCAAGGCCTTGGCCCAGGATAATGACTAATGGGGAGTTTTAGGGCTGGAAAGAGGAGAGGACCAGGTATGGCAGATCTTGGGAGAAAATTAGGGGATGTGCAGTTCGTTCCAGCTTGACCCCAAATAGATGGCTACCTCCTCTGCCTCTAATTTACTGAAGCTGCCTTCCTCATGTATTGAGCACCTGCTATATGTCAGGCCCTGAGCTGGGGTTGGGGGTCAAAGACAAGGCACAACCTCTGACCTTAAAGGGCTCCCAGGGGAGGCAGACTAGGTAAAGAGGCAATGACAGTGCGGTCTGCTAGGTAAGCACTTGGTCAGGGAAGCTGGGCTGGTGGGACAGAGGGACGCCCTCACCCTGCCCATCCCTACCCCTCACCCAGCATGTCCTCCGACACTGGAGTCCGTAGGATGTCCCCTGTGAATTCGCAGGTGGTCTTCTGGGCATCGATCCCAGAGGTCCCTTCAAACACCTACAGGGTAAGAGGTTAGTTAGTCTAATAAGTGGTTTGCTGAGGAGAACGGGGCCTCCCATTCTAGGCTCCCTTTGTGTCCAGCTCCGGGCAAAGCTCTCTCAGGGGAAATAGAACATTTTCTGCCTTTGGAATTTATAAGATAGTGTGGAAACTTTGTGGATTCATTCATTTATTCAACCACCAACATCTTATTGACACCACTTACCTGAACAATTGCCTTGGTCCCAGCCACCTCAAGCACTTGCCCGTTCCTCTGAGTCCCATTGGGGAGGGTGAAGTTGACGATCTCAGCATACTGGGCAAACTGGCAGGAGGGGAGAGCACCCCAGAGTGTCAGTGAGACCAGAAGTGAAGTCCCTGTCTCCTCCTCAGACTTCCTTGACCCATTCTCAAGCTCCTTTCTCCCATCTTGTGCCCAGATACTCCTGGAAATGAACTTCAGAGACAGGTAAGTGGAAAGCTTAAATTCTGCTTGGGAGGCAGTATACCTGGGTGGGTAGGAGTACCGACTTCAGAGTTGGAAGACCAGGGTTAGAATTGAAGCTCTGACACTTAGAAGCTGTGTGACCTTGTGGAAGTTACTTAATGTCTCTGAGCCTTACTTTCCTCATCTTTAAAATGGGAATAATACTAACACCTATTTCATAAGGCTGCTGTGGGGAGGAAATATATGGAAAGTCATTAGCTGGTGCCGGGACCTTATAACAGCTCAATAAAATGTAGTAGCTATTATGGCTGTTTAGGTCTCCTGACAGCACCATTGTTTCTGCCCCTGTGGACTAATGGTGAACACAATGGCAAAGTTCTCTCCACGGCTCCCAGATGTCCCCATCTACCAGTGGCAATCGTTCCCTAGCCATGGGGCTGGGATCAATTCACATGTAGTCCTCACAGGCTTCAGGAATAAAACGAATCAGGCAATCACTTTGCTTTTGGCTAAGATCAAGTGAAGTATTCATTCTTATCAATGTAGAAAGCATCAGGCCAACATCTGGAATATATAAAGAGATCTTACAACTCAACAATAAAAAGACAAATACCCTATTTTAAAAATGGCAAAGGACCTAAATAAACATTTCTCCAAAGAAGATATACATGTGCCCAATAAGCACATAAATGATCAACCAATTAGTCACTAAAGAAACGCAAAATCACACAATGAGACAGCACTTCACACTCATTAATATGGCCGTAATAAAAAAGACAGATAATAACAAGTGTTAAGGTTGTGGAGAAACTGGAACGTTCAGACACTGATGGTGTGAATGTAAAATTGTGTGGTCACTTTGGTAAATAGTCTGGTGGTTTCTCAAAAGGTTAAATAATAGAGTTACAATATGACCTAGCAATTCCACTCCCAGGTGTACACCCAAGAGAAATAGAAACACATGTCCACATAAAAACTTGCATATGAAGGCTCATAGCAGCATTATTCATAATAGGCAAAAAGTGAAAATAACACAAATGTCCACAAACTGACAAATGGATAAACAAAAGGTGGGATATCCAGGCAGTGGAATATGTCAGCTTTAAAAAGGGATGAAGGGGACTTCCCTGATGGCGCAGTGGTTAAGAATCCGCCTGCCAATGCAGGGGACACGGGTTTGAGCCCTGGTCCGGGAAGATTCCAGATGCCACGGAGCAACTAAGCCCGTGCGCCACAACTACTGGGTCCGCGTACCACAGCTACTGAAGCCTGTGCGCCTAGAGCCCATGCTCCGCAACAAGAGAAGCCACCGCACTGAGAAATGAGAAGCCCGCGCACCGCAAGGAAGAGTAGCCGCCACTTGCCATGACTAGAGAAAGCCCGCATGCAACACAGCCAAAAATAAATAAATTAGTTAATTAAAAAGGGATGAAGTACTGATCCATACTACAACAAGGATGAACCTTGAAAACATCACGCTAAGTGAGAGAAGCCAGAAACAACGGGCCACATAGTGTGTCATTCCATTGATATGAAATGTCCAGACTGGTCACATCCATAAAACAAAAAGGTTAGTTGTTGCTGGGGACTGGAGGACATAGGATTGGTGGTGACAACTAACAGGTTCAGGGTTTCTTTCTGAGGTGATGAAAATGTTCTGAAATCAAGTAGTGGTGATGGTTGCACAACTCTGTGTATAGACTAAAACCCACTGACCTATATACACTTGAAAAGAGTGAAGTTTATAGTATACACATTACAACTCAATTTAAAAAACCAATCAGGCTGTCCCTCCAGGACCACAGGCAGCAAGTGGGTAGGTGGATATCTGCCCCAAGGGAATCCCTGAGCTCCGCTGTCTGTGTGTGCTTCAGGAACCAAGTTCTAGATGAGGCTATGAGCCAAGCCAAAGAAGCTGGGCTGGGAGAGCAGATGCTCCCAGCTGACACTGGTCCTCAGCTCTGGTCAGCACCAGGAGAGCTAAGCCCTCCACCTGCATCTTCTTCCCAGGGGAGGTCCTGGAGAGAGTGCATGGCATTGCCCAGGCACCCTCACCTTGCTGTCCATCCACCTGGCTTCCTTGATTCACTTCAGGGGTAAGTCTTAATCTTAATCCAATAAGAATAAATGTAAAAAAGACTGCATCTCTCCCTGCAATGTTTCTAATATTCTGGGAAATTAAAGTACTCCTCTAAGTTACTCCTTGGACATTAATCAAAACTAAAATCACAGAAGAAATAGAAAATAATGAAAAGGATATCACTTTGAACACATCAGTGTTTTCTGATCATAATCAAAGTAAGTTAGAAATCAATAACAAAAGGATAGTTAGAAAAACTTCATACATTTGGGAATTTTGAAACGTTCTAAATATAGAAAAACTGGGACTTCCCTAGTGGTGCAGTGGTTAAGAATCTGCCTGCCAATGCAGGGGACATGGGTTCGAGCCCTGGTCTGGGAAGATCCCACATGCCGTGGAGCAACTAAGACCATGTGCCACAACTACTGAGCCCGCATGCCACAACTACTGAAGCCCACGTGCCTAGAGCTTGTGCTCCGCAACAAGAGAAGCCACTGCAGTGAGAAGCCCACGTGCCACAAAGAAGAGTAGCTCCCGCTTGCTGCGACTAGCGAAAGCCTGCACACAGCAACGAAGACCCAATGAAGCCAAAAATAAATAAATAAATATAGAAAAACTTATAATTATATTAGAAAACATTTAGCACTAAACAATAATGAGAAACTATTTTTCAACACACATGTGATGCATTTAAATGCTTATATTAGAAAAGAAAAAAGGTGGAGGTAGTTTAAATGTATGCAACATGAAAAGTTAGAAAATAGAACAGCATTAAAATTCCAAATAAAATAAAAGAAATAATAAAAGGGCAGAGATCATTAAAATAGAAACAAACATATAATAGAGATGACCAACAAAGCCAAACTGGTTCTTTGAAAAGACTAATAAAACAGACAAATCCCTGGCATCACTGACTAAAAGACATGAGTAAATAATTGTTGGAATAAAAAAAGTCAAAGCTATTGTGACCGCCTGGAGGGGTGGGATAGGGAGGGTGGGAGGGAGGGAGACAAAGAGGGAAGAGATATGGGAACATATGTATATGTATAACTGATTCACTTTGTTATAAAGCAGAAACTAACACACTATTGTAAAGCAATTATACCCCAATAAAGATGTTTAAAAAAAAAAGTCGAAGCTAGCTATACTAATAATATTAAAAATAATTTTAAAATTATGAATAACTTTACACAATATATTTCAGAACTTAGATGAATAAATTTCTTGAAAAATACAAATCAAACCAAATCCAATTAAAAAAAAAATAGAAAGCCAGGATAGTCCTATAATCTTCAAGATATTGGATAAGTAACTTAAAATCTTTCTAGAAAGAAAACACCAGTCCCAGATAATAAGTGAGTTCTAACAATCAAGGAACAAATAATTTGAAACTTACTTAAGCTCTTCAAAAGACTGGAAGAAAAACTCCAGTCTTAATTAACTTTATGAGGCAAGGATAATCTTGATACAAAATAAGATAATAATGGGAAATTTATAGGCAATCTCAATCATGAACATAGATGCAAAAACACTAAGCAAATACTAGCAAACTAAATCCAGCAATGTACCAAAAAAGACCACAAGTTACAAACAAACCAAACAATAAAAGAAAACATGTAAAAAACCAAAAAATGAAGATAAACACATACACACAAAAGACCAAGCTGGGATTATTCCAGGGATTCAAGGTTAGTCTAACATTAGAAAATCTACTAATAAATTTATCTTATTAATGAGTTAAAGGATTTAAAAACATGTTATCTCAACAAGTTTTACAAAAAGTTAAAAAAAAAAAACTATGATTGAAAACAAAAGAACAAAACCATTCTTTGAAAACAGAATAAAAGGGAAATTCTTTAACCCCAAAAAGTAGCCTCAGAAAACCTACAGAAAATATACTCAATGGTATAAAGTATAAAACAGTCTCTTTAAATTTAGGAGCAAAGCAACACTGCCTGCTATCATCATTCCATTCAGCATTGTACTGGAGGAACTAACCAAAGTAATAAGATGAAGAGAAAACAGAGATTAGAAGAAAACAAAACTATAAAATGGAAAACTCCCAAACCCCAAATCTAATATAGTACCCCCAAAAAACTATAGACTAGGGCTTCCCTGGTGGCGCAGTGGTTGAGAGTCCGCCTGCCGATGCAGGGGACACGGGTTCGTGCCCCGGTCTGGGAAGATCCCACATGCCGCGGAGCGGCTGGGCCCGTGAGCCATGGCCGTTGAGCCTGCGCATCCGGAGCCT